ATCAATCTGATCAGGACTATGACATGAAAAAAAAAAATCTAGTCGGGTAAGAAAAAGGTATAAATTTCTGTACCTAATCATGAATATTCTTATTGTTTTGGTCTTTAAATACGAATATTTAAATTTTCAACATAGAATATATTTACATACTTAATACTTGTACATATATTTTATGTCGAAAGTTTGATATTTGTGTTTAAAGAGTAAAACAAAAAGAGTGTCTAGGATTAGGTACATGTCCGGACATTGGTACTTTTACCTTACTTTATGCGCTGCAAACTTGAGAAAACTATTGTGCAAACCAGTCTACGTTCGTTTTGTATTAAGGGGATGCTGGAGTCAATGACGAACTCGAAAAACGTCGATAATGCAGAGACTATCGTCACTAACATAATCACGCTATCCTTTTCGTATTTCTTGTATATACAGAATTTATATAAATGTATGTTGTTTTGTTTTACCATATTCAACGAAAAACCTAAGCATATATGTAGAAATCTTTCTGCAAACTTTTTCGATATTTTTAAGCTTCCAAATGCAGATGCGAAGGTAGAACAATGTTCTTCAAAATTTTTCTGTTTGGAGCATCCACACTTTCGGTATGTACAAGCTGCGGAACTTTTGGATTAAACAAGTATCACGCTAACTAATAGCTTGAGACTTTACATTAAACATTTTTTTGTTCATTTTCGACACATATCGAGCAATGCTCCTATTTATTTTTGCACGTACTTTCATTGCGTAAAAGCATTTGTAATTCTATGTAATCAATACGACGTAAACTTTGCAGAAAAATATCAGTGTTCTGTCGGTAGTTTTCAGCTTCAGCATCCCTTTAAACGCGTGAAAACTGAACATAATGAACATAAAATCAAAACAAGTACTTTTTCCTTCTTGCTGCTGTTTCTTGCGCTAAACAAAAAGAAAACAAAGAAAACGTTATGTTTCCGAATTGTTACTGCGGGAGAGACTTGCGTTACTGCGACTGAAACCGATTTCCGAAGAAACCGTCGGAATTTTGCGAGGAAACCTCCGTTCCTGCCAAACAGTTACGAGAAATTGCGTTCTTGGTTTACGGAGGAAAACACATTGCCTGAATTATCTTATTTTCGACGGTCCGTCGAATAAATAAACCATACACAAAAATATCAGTCTCTACTGTGCTAACAAAAGCGATTATTCAGTTTACTCTCCTTTTTTTAAGTAATGATTATCTTCAATAAAGAATATTTTCTTTGATGATAGTTTTAAAATATATTAAATAAATATAAAAAAAAAAATAAAAAAAAATATATATATATATAGATAAAAGTATACAAAGTGAATCTCATAACTATTACCACCTTGAACATTTTCGAATCAAGAAACAGGCGGTCTTCAGATTTCCGAAAAAATCTTATGGTGGTTGTACTTTTTCTGATAGGAATATCTCTGAAAATAAGGTCACTTTTGTTTTTTGCTCCAAAGATATTCAATAGTTATCGACTCCATAGTGTGTAAAGAGTATATTTTTATTAAATTAAAATATACTTATGACAAAATTTATTATCGTTTTCTCATTTTCTTTTCTCGAGAAAAGTTTATTATCGTGGTCTCATTATTGTATATTCAAAGAAGAATTTAGTCTCTTTATAAGAATAGTAATTGGTTCGATTCTATGTAATTTAAATAAACTGAAAGTCTCTCTTTTAATTTAAAATTCTTGTTTGAAATGCTAAATTTGTGAAGAGATTCAGAATGTATTATATACACATTTTGAATGAATTTAATAAATTCTCTTATAATAGATTTGCGAATATATATAAACGTGCGAACTACTTGAGACAAGTAATATTTACTCGAATACAGTATATATTCTTCTGTGTGCAAGAATTATTTCCAGGCGATTGCAGCAAGTTTTATCGTACCAAACCGAATTTTTCTCTCAATTTAATATTTGTGATTAAAATGCTAAACTTGCTAGGACTCGAAATGCATTTGAGTAACTTTGATGGTTACAATAAAGTTACGCACTGAGAGAAAAGTATTTTAAAATTTATTTATGTGGAGAATAAAGTTTATTCGCAGAAATAAACTTTGTTTTGTAGAAATAGACTTGATAAATTTTCAAGTATCTTTTTCTCACAGTACGATAAATTTGCGGATATATAATAAATTTATAAAATACTTCTTTCTTAAATAAAAACAGCATTTCCCAATAAACATCGAACATCAGTTACAGTACATCTATGTTATAATTTTGCACTCAACAATGTAAATGCAATATAATACATAGTGTTATATTCCAATGATGCTCGGTGTTGACTGGATTGAATGTACACGGAGAATTTGAAAATAATAATTATTATAGAATTTCGTAATCCCCTCCTCTCCCCCACAAGGAATAGATTGATATTCTGCAGCAATTCACTATATTCTTTCATTTCATATGTTCTATTTATATTTTACTGAAATATGTTATTAAAACATTCGTTATGTTTCTGCTTTTTTCGCGAAATTAACTGTGTTAACAAGATAGACTTTATCTATTCCTGGACTATCAAAAACAATAAAATTGAGAAGAACATATACGAAAGAAAACTATAATATCCCCTCCGTGTGTAGTGAATATTTGGTGTGTACGAATTATTTTCGGGCAATTGCAGCAGATTTCATCAGAGCGGAGTCATGCGCAAGATAAGGTGAATGCGTGCGTCCTCGTCGGAGTATCCTCGTGCCACGCGACTGACGATCGTCACGACAGCTCGTCAAACACGTTCATTTCGCGTACAACGCAAAGCAACGATAACACGACACTGTCGATCGCGCAGGAACACGGCATCGCGCACATTCGCGTCCCCTCGAATTGGCTCCCTCAATCGACACCTCACCCGAGTACCATCCCTTAGAGCTCTCGTCACAATCGCGAATCACGCGAGCCCGTCGTAATCGTACATAATACAGGCGAGCACGATGACAACGACGAGGACGGCGCGTATTTCCTCAAGCGACGTCGCTAATTAACGACCGCATCTTATTCCCTCAGTGACAACTTCGCGACGCGGAGGCGCGCGCTTGCGGACAACACGAGAGCATTCACACGAGGCACCGAGAGAGCGGGGCCGAGGAACGTCGTCCTTTGGCAGGCGCGAATCGCGGCGCGGGGGCGCGTTGACGCTGTCAACTTGACAGCCGCCGGGACGCATTCCGCGTGCATTCTCCGGAATTGCCGGATGCCGGCGACAACCGCAGCCCTGTTCTTTTCAACTCAACTACTAGGGCTGCACTGGAACCTCATTTCTCTTCCCTTCAATGTCGAGCTCTCATACTTAGGTCCCTTTAAGTCGAAGCAGGTTGCCCTTTTTCGTTTTAAAATAAAACGTGCATGTAACCTAGCATTGAAAATAGAAGAACTAAGATTCAACGCAGTCTTATTAATTAATTAGTCTATTTGAAGGGAGCAGACCTCTTGTCTCACTCCAACGGCAAAAGGTGCAACCTGGTTCAGCCAAAAAGAACTCAAGCGTAGAACTTACACGCGTTGAAGGGAAGGGGAATAAAGTTCCGCAATATTAGACAATATTAAGCAATATTAGGTCTGTTTTTTTCAACTGAACTCTCTGGAAGTGATTCAATAAATTAGAGTGAGACAAATACATTTTTTTTCACTCTAACTTATTGCAACAGTCTGCACTGGTTTAGTTCAGCTAAAAAACAGACCTATTAGTTCAGTTAATGGCGAATTTGATTGGATGCACTATAGCGCGCATCTGTGCACACTGAAACTGGTATCATAGCCCATTCTTATATTTTAAATTATTTTTAAATTATTTTTAAATTATTTTTAAATTATTTCTAAATTATTTTTAAATTATTTTTAAATTCGCCTCCGAATGCTCCGAATAACCAATGGAACGATTTATGCAACATTTGAAGATGAACTTTAAGCGATTTTAAATAAAAAAACTATAAATACAACTTAAATATAAAAAAGGACATTATAGATCTGTTCTTTTTAGCTGAATCAATGCGCACTGGTGCAATAAATTAGAGAGTGAGACAAATATATTTTGTCTCACTTATTGCACCGGTGTGCACCAGTTCAAGCACGGCTCAGTTAAAAAAGAAAGAGACTTAAGTCTATTCCTTTCAGCTAAACTGAACTTATACACACTGACGCAAAATAACTGAGACAAATATATTTTACTTCGCTCTAACTTATTTTGCACCAGTTCAGACAATTTAATTAAAAAAAACAAACCTCTTATAATACCGGCCTCAGTATATCTTGGCGCGTCTAGTAGTGCATCCAATTGAATTCGCTACAAGAAAAGCAGACCTCTTGTTTCGTCGTAAAGGCGACAGTCGCAAGCTGGTTCAGTCAAAATGAACTCAAACAGAGAACTCACGCGCGTTGAAGGGAAGTGGAACGAAGTTTCAGTGCAATATTAGCTTAGCTAGAAGAAGTAAACTCCTTGTCTCACTCCAAAGGCAAAAGATATAACCTAGTCTAAGTTCTTCTTCAAGAAGAGGAGACCCGGGCGATTCGCGAAGAACTCGCGTAGTGCGTATCTCGAGCACGCTCTGCCACTCACGGTGACACACTGTTGTCCTGTACCAGTTAGCCGCGCTCTTCCCTCGCGCTGTCACTTCGAAATGAGAGAAAATATCAGTAATATCAGAAAACGGATCCAACGAGGCGGCAACACTAAACCCGATCATTATTGTCGTAGTATCGACATAGCGCGACGTCCGTCGCATTCTCTTCTATCTCTCTTTCTTTCTCTCTCTTTAGCGATTGCGGTACTCGCGTCGAATCGTTTAACGGACGTCGCGACGCTACGCTACGCTACGTGACGCGACGCGACGCGTCGCATCGCGTCGCGCCAAGTACGTCACGGACGCTGCGTCGCGAGGACGAGGACGAGAGGATGGGGCGTAGGGCGCGCACACAGGAGGGCGAGCAAGAGAAACGCAACGGTGCTATGCTACGGTATATGTTGTATCGTGAGATAAAAAACCTGCTGCTCCTGTAGAGAGCGACGGAGACGCTCCGGAGTGTCCTTTGGTTCCTCTGCTCTCCTCCTCTCGCTTCCTGATCCCGGACAAACGCCGTTCACGCCGGATCGCGCTCTCGACGGGCCACGGGATCAACGGGGAACCGTTGACGGCGGGGAAGGAGGCGGTAGCGGCAGCGACGATCGCTTCTCCTCGAGGCAGTTGTGTCACACTCGATTTTACGGCACTCGTTCGCGTTACCTGCGCCCGCGGCTGCCCGGTCGTTGTTGCTCGCTCACTCGCTTACTTGCGTGCTTGCGTGCGTTCGCCACCCCGGCGAGTGCGCTGCATACGGACAACGCACCGATCGACGACCGTCGTCTTCACGCTTGTGCCGAGAACGCGACGGAGCAACGCGGCGAAGAGCGCTGCGCGCCGCCACAACCCCCTGAAGTCCGGCCCGCCCGCCCGGCCGTCGTCGCTGTCGCTCGCGGCTAGCTTCGCAGCGCTGACGCGCACAGGTGCGAGCGTACCGGTCGCGCGCGGCCGGTGCGCGATTGTTCAATTTTCACCTGGGCTCTCCGTCGTCCTCTCTCTTTCCCGGCCACCTCGACGCACGCGGTGATCAGCGAAGTCGCCGCCGGTCCCTCGCGATCAACGGCGCGCGCTTTGTCGCGCCTCTCTCGCGTGTTCTTTCGCCCGCGTCGTCTTTTGCCACTTTTGCCGCTTTGCCGAAAGAGAGCGAAGCGCGAACTTCAACGATCACTCGAAATGAAAACGAAGCACGCGCCGTACGGGATGCGCGTGTGCATGTGTGTGTACGTTGCATGCACGATGCGTGCGAACGTGCGCACCGTCGCGAAAAGCGCCGCGGAAAATCAATAGCGCTTTCGTGTGAAGGTGTGTGCGCGCGTGTGGATACGCAGTGGCGTAACTGGCGATCGTGCGCCCCGGTCGCGCGTCGGAGGTGAAAACGCAGCAATTCCGGCGAGATCGATTCGTTGTAGGTAGACGCGACTAGATCGATGAAATTCATCGATTTTCACGCTCTTACATCGAAAAGAAATATTCGAAAATTTATTTGTAAAACAAAATTTATTCGCGGAAATAAAGTTTGTTTCACAGAAACTTTATCTTTTCTACAAATGAATTTCCAGATTTTTTCTGTCAGTATACACTGAGAAATTTTTTCATAGAATAAATGTTATATATTAACTTTATTTCTGTGAAATAAACTTCATATATCAACTTTATATTTCTGTAAGATAAATTTTATATACAACAAGAACAATTTTACAACTTTATTTCTGTAAAATAAACTTTATATTCCACAAATTTCCTAATATATTTTCTCAGTGTACTCAGTGTTGGGAATGTCTCTTAATTAAATTATGGTATAATATATATTTTAATATATTTAATATATATTTAGTTAAATAACTAAATATATCACTATCTTTGATGTCAAGAGAGGAAAATTGCCAAATATTATTTTTTATTGCGACTTCAATTCTTGCAAATGGAATTCTAAACTTTGAACTGAAATTCCATTAAACTCCATATTTAAAATTGGGGATAAAAGACTTGGTTATTCGATTTTTATCTCTTAATTCATAAAAAGTCTCTGATTTTTGCATACACATTGACATACTTCTAAGTTTACAAGATTGTTAGACACTAAGCTATTACATTTTCAACAAAAAGAGTCTCTGATTTGACAAAGGACAAAGATGCTATTTTTTTTTCTTTTATTTATATTTAATAATTACATTTACTTTTTTTTCTTATATATTTAAGCATCTCATAAGAGGAATAATGAGTTGCTGTTAAGAATGTTTCATGTACAAAAACTTGCAGATCACAATTGAGTCACTTATTATGCATATTAAACTTCACTCTTATTGCTTACGATTCCTTTGCTAATGGATTCTTTATCACAAGATCAGCGCCTTCACAGTGGATGCTATCGTAGGTCCACTTGCGATTGTTCCTGGCAAAGTAATAATAACTCTCTTAATAACAACAGTCCACAATAAACAATACAACAGTTACAGTACACTGTAAACACAAGTCTTTCATTTGACATAGAAATCCTCACAAAATTACCAATTACCTGCATTCATGGCCACACTTTGGGGAAGAGCACTTGGCACATGGATAATGACACCCATAGCAGTCTAAGTTCAAACAATCGCAGAGATCATCCGCTGTCTGTATGTAGATGCCTTTCTCGTCGTATAACTGCCTCTTGTGACCGTGATACAATCGGCGATAAAGCTTGCGTTTCTCTCTCTCGCTGTGCTCAGGGTCAAAGTTCCGTAAAAATTTCTTGGACAAATTGTCTACAGCCTTCTGCCGGGAGCCTCGAGTTTTCTGCGGGCAAATTTTGAACGATTAATTTCTCGACACGAACGATTCTCTACGGTTCGACCAATGGATCCATGCGACGCACTCACTTTTTCATTACGCGGTGGATTCCGCTCGGCGTTCGGCTGAGACGCGTTCTCGGATGTGGACGAGTTCGCATTCATTGTTCACCACTGCCAGTGTATATTCGAATTCAAAAAGCTTTATCAAGAGCTTTAACTTTGCGTATACAAAAGACGTGGTAATTTCTCTTATATGAAATTCTCATTTCTGATGTCTCTCACGGACTGATACACCGCAAAGGTCGCACAACAGCTGATTCTTCGGAGCAAGAAATGTGCGCCTATCTGCACTTTACGCCTCCCAGGACGGAATGAAGGTGTAATTGGGATTCGCATCGAGTAGTTTCTACACACAGGACGCGAAAACGCTTGTCGAAAGTAATCGTCAATTTAGCAGAGAGAGAGAGAGAGAAGAGAGAGAGAGAGAGAGAGAGAGAGACAGACAGAGAAATTTTCCGAGATTCCTACAAAGAGAATTAGATTCTTGAAGTTGACGGAAATGTTACCGCGGTAATTAAGAAATACGCGTTTACTCTGAGGTTAGAGTTGGGTCAGAGTTAGGTTAGGTTAGATTGGAGCACTGCGCTGTTTGCGTGCGCTTCGTTTTCCTGAGATAGACATCGCAGACGTCGCGCATTCGTAGCGGCAGATCACAGTGATCGCAATATTTCCTTTTAGAGCTAACTACTGGTACCCAACGCGAGATTCGCCGCTCGTTCTGTCAAGAGTCACAGATTCGTGACTTCGAGTAATTCCAGGTGATACCAGCCTTGAAGCATGCGAGACAGCGTTTGCACGTAGAACTCAGTGACTTCTGAACGAGTACTTATCACCGAACAGCTGAAATGGCTAAAGTATCGTACAGTATCGTGGAATATTACGCAGAACACGAAGGGTACAAGTGCGGCTATTGCAAAAGCCCTAATACAAACTTCAGTCACGGTGAGTGCGAACATAACTGTTTCAACGTATCGACACGAAGTATTTTTCACGTCGTCTCATGATTAGTCGACAAATCGAGCTTCTGTTATTTGTTAGAATTTGATGTAAAGATGCATGTTTTGAATGTGATAATATTAATTCATGTAAAGTGGTACATTGCGCAGTTTATAAGCATCTACATGCTTCTTTTTATTTGCATTAAAATCTGATGTAAACAAAAGTTTGTCTTAAAACTAGTCTTATAACTAGTGTCATTATATTATTTTAAGATGTAAGCCTAGATGCTTTTTTTATTTATACTAAAATCTGATATAAATATATCTTTATAAAAGTATATATCTTTATAAAAGTATATATCTTTTTAAAAGTAATAGTTAACATAATGTATTATTGTCAGGCATGTGGGCCCATTCATTGACAGTCGAGGACTATCAAAGCTTGATAGACAGGGGATGGAGACGAAGTGGCAGTTATTGTTATAAACCCACACTGGAACAAACCTGTTGTCCACTCTATACTATCAAGTAGAGTAGTATTTCTTTGTATTAACAATGCACAACATATATGGTTTGTTCTTTTCAACTGCACTGCTGAACTGGTAATAAGTTAGAGTGAGAAAACATATACTTGTCTCACTTTAACTTATTGCATTAATTTAGCAGTGCAGCTGGAAAGAACAGACCAATAGTTAACAATGATAAGCATCTGAGACAAATTATATCTGAGCATTTCAATGATGACTTTCAGATGTGAAGCTTTGGACTTCAGAATATCAAAATCTCAAAAGAAAGTCCTGAAGCGCATGGTGAAATTCTTGAAAAACGAGCTGGTAAACGATAATATTAAAGATATGAATGAGGATCAACATGATAATATAGGTAAGACTTTGAGAAATGTACAATAATAGTAAACCTAAGAGCTGTTTGATTATATTTCACTTATAACTTTGTAGTATTAATATTACGAATACTAGTAATTAGAGTAATATTAATGACTTTACAGACATAAACAATGAAGAAGCATTAAATTATGCAAAGCACCACGCGAAAGCGCAAAAAAATTTATCTAAAATAAATGTCTCATCTATGGACAGTGAAATCAGTGGGAGAATGTCTATTGATCCAATAGAAACATCCAAAGACACTAGTATCTCAAAGATTTCTATTTCTGCCTCAAGTAGCGACCAGAGACAGCTGACAAATGCAGAGAAGAAAAGTGCTTCACATTCTAGTAACGAAAATATCAGCACGGTGCCTCGCAAGAAAGCGAAACTCCTACGCATAGAACGTAAGCAAAATAAGTTATTAGCTCAAGGTAAATCGCAAAGTGAAATCGAGAGCATCATGAGAGAGAAGAAACAACAGAACTGCGCCAAAAGCTTGGAAGAATTGTTCGATGAGGTGTATACTGGCTTGAAAAAGTTTGAGGTAACAATGCAGTATAAACAGTCGATGTCGCAAACTGTTGCTTATCACGCTTGCTTGTCAATACGGTCAATACTATTCTCGACACGGGGTCCATTTTTCTCCAATTTTTGTCACATTTGCAGCGGAAAATAAGTCGAATTCAGTCGTAGCGTTAAGTGATCAAACACACTGACTCTTGTATTCGTATGTTCGCGTCCGTTAGTTATCGCACTACGACATTCATTCGTATCGGATCTGTGTTAAGCTCATGATTTTTGTAAGCTGAGACTGGTTAGAACTGCGCCGATGAGCTCGGAATACCTAAAGACCTCGAAAAAGTCTTACGAAGTTTATAAAAAGTATCAGACCACGATACACGGGACGCCGGCCGAGAAAGTCACAGAGCAACGATACACGAGATTTCTCGTGAAGTCGCCTCTGCAGGTAATTTTCTAAATGGTGTCACCTTGGAATCTGCCTTGAGATATAACTATCGTGATGTTTATCCGATGAGCATTACGAACACGAATGTTTATATGCGCGTGATATTGTCTTTACGTATATATCTTAACGCAGAATCGTCCAGATTTAAATGCGTCATGTCATAATTCCGGCAACAAAAGGAAAAAGAAATAAAAGAGAATTTACCGAAACAATTTAGGTCTGTATTAATAGTTGTCACTTAAAACTTGTCTCGTGTGAAATTATTCAGATTTTTATTCAGTTAGATTCAAGTTTTTTAGTAAAATTATAATATGTGACATTTTTATGTGTAATTATGATTCAACTAAAAAAGTTCCATCTAATGCTAATTCAAACCTGAATATTTTACTTCAGACGATTTCTAAGTAATAATTATTAATATTAGCCTTAAAGTTGTATCAATAGTCATTACTTGAAACTTATATGAGCTGAACTATTCAGATTTAAATTTAGGCACGTATTAATAGTTGTCACTTAAAACTTGTCTCATGTGAAACAATCAGATTTTGATTATAAAGTTAGATTCAAGTTTTTCAATTTAGTTATGATATGTAATATGACATTTATATCTGTAATCATAATTCAACTAAAAAATTCTCATCTGATATTAATTTCAAACTTGTGTATTTTATTTGAGATGATTTTGAGATAATAATTATTAATATTAGCTTTAGAGTTTTATTAATAGAGTTGTTATTTGAAACTTACCTGAAATAAGATACTCAAATATGAATTTAGATCCAGATTTGAATTAAAAATTGTCACTTAAAACTTGTCTCATATGAATACTTAGATTTTGATTCAGAGTTAGATCCAAGTTTTTCAGTTGAATTATGTGATATATGTGACATCTATATTTATAATCGCGCGATCAAACTGAAAAGCTCATTTAACTTTGAACTTAAAGTTCAGATCTGAATATGAACTCAAATTTGTGTATCTCACATGAGACGAGTTTCAACAATTATTGATACGGGCCTTACACTGTCTATAGATATCTGTAAATTCTCAGATCATATGATAGCATAGAAAGCTGTAATAGATAGCTATGCGCTTTTGGTTCGTTATTTTTATTAGGTTCTTCGCCGTGTATCGATAGATTTGATTTTAACTTTATTCTCGAAATTACGCTATCATATATATTAATTAGCAGTTAGAGACGTCAATCTTGCCGCAGTCGGACGTGCGATATACAGAGCAACTATATAATGTCACGATTGGAGCAAAGTGGACCTTACCGATCGATCAAAGAATTCGTGATTTGCATTTAATGTTGTCAACACCGTCGCTTGATCGACGATTACAGTAATGAATAATACTTTCGTTGCTTGAAATGCAGCACTTGTTTACGCGTTTGCAAAAACACTTGTCTTTGTGATTTTGTTAGATAAAATTGGTGAGAGTGATGTCAGACGAGTTCCTTACCACTCTCGATGCGAGCGCGAGTGTTTATAAAAAGTATCAAATGGCGATACACGGCGATTCACCGGAGGAATGCGATCGAAAGTCATTCTTCAACTTTCTCGTAAAGAGTCCTTTGCAGGTATACTTTGTATACTTAATCTCAAACGATGTTAAGAGACACCTTTGCGAATCCGCTTTCCTCTCACGCTCTCACAGCGAGCCGCAGTGCTCGTATTCACAAGTAAATTACTATATATTGTATATATTATACATTGTTTTACACGAAAGCGCAGAGTCCGTCTCGTATAGCATAAATCTCAGTATAGTATAATCTCATTATAAGATATTATATCTTATTAAATATAATATAATATCTTATTAAAAATATAATATATTATAATAATATATTTTATAATATATTAAAGTAACTTTGCAAAAAATATATATTATATATTTTTTAAATTGGATTTTATAGCGTTTTTACTGCTATATTTTTACTTTTATAATATACCGCTAGTATAATTCTAGTAATATTTAAAAAATCGTTGCAAAGGAAAATAGCTCTTAAACGGCTGTTCCGTACATGTTGTTGTTTACCGACAATTGTCCGTTTGATATGTGTTGTTGTGCTATTTGTCATTGCTAGATATTTTATGATACGATTATATCTGTACAACGCGACACAAGTCCAACCGATAGTTGTCAGTAAATGTCTACAGAACACAGCTCATAGAATGTAAACATTGTTTTTTAAAGCCGTGGATATCTGAAAGCGGCACTCCAGGGATACCACCTCAGGGATACGGCTCTTTCCACGAACAGTACTGGTTGAACAACGAGCTAATAGCCGTCGGAGTGATAGACATCTTGCCGTCGTGCGTCTCGAGTGTGTACTTCTTTTACGACCCGGCTTATAGTCAGCTCTCTTTGGGGACTTTCAGGTCTGTAAAGGATTCTTCTTCTCGAAAGCAATCAAAGTCACGTACGTTTCCGAATAATGCGTTACTTCCACAGTTCATTGCGAGAGATTTATCTGACGAGGCAATTGAACAAGGTCGCGCCCGTTCTGAGATATTATTACATGGGCTTTTACATTCACACGTGTCCGAAGATGCGATACAAAGCGAGAATGCGACCGTCGAAGCTCCTGTGTCCCGAGACGTACACGTGGTTCGACATCGATCCCTGCTTGGTGAAGCTGGACAACGAGAAGTACAGTCGTCTGAACGACGATATCGACGCCATCGACGAGGACGGTGTAGTCGACACTCGAGAAGTATGCTACGAAAACATTCGATAGTTAAACATTCGAACATAGGATCATAAAACAAATCGCTTCTCGCAGCTATTTGCTTTGTGATTTTCTTAGAAGTATGCTACGAAATAGTTAAACATTCGAACATAGGATGATAAAACAAATCGCCTCTCGCAGCTATTTGCTTTGTGATTTTCTTTACTCGGTATCGTTAAATTTTGTGCAAAAAGAGATGGTATATAATACGAGTCTCACCGCGGTTATCAGTGCGCGACAATAGTAAACAAATAACGACAACCAGACATCGACGTTTCGAGGTCAATAAGACTGACCTTCTGTGGTTAAAACGATTAAAAATGGTAATAAATTGTTTACAACACATGCGTTTATTGCGCACTGATATTTTTATTTGTCATTACTTTTTGTATTTGTCTTGAAAAGAAGGTTATTATGAATATTTTATCGAGTTGAATAATAAATAATATCGGATTTTTCAGGTAAAATAAAACGATTATATATTTTTACGTCGTTATAATTTTATGAAACAATCTATGCGAAGGATGTTAGAAGATCATAGGTCAAAACGACGCACATAGGAGACCGGGACTAGTTGGCTACCGGGATAAGTTGGCGAAACCGGTTATTTCTAGTGTTTTCTAACAAGTTACAAAATTAAACAAGCAAGATTTTTAAATATGTCAAAGATGGTTTTGAAATCTCTGTTTGCTTGATTCTGAAATCTGTTAAAGAGCAATAGAAATAATTGATTTTGCCTATTTACCTCGGTAGCCAAATAGCCCCGATCTTCTCTACATTGTTTCATAAAATTATAACAACATAAAAATATGGTCGTTTCATTCTATTTAAACAATTCGAAATATTACATATCTTACTTGAAAGATTTGATAGAATTAGATAAGGAGAATCTATGTAACTGTGTTTTTGATAAAGTACGATAAAATTACTTAAAAAAATATGTATATGTATATATATATATATATATATATATATATATATATATATATATATTCAGATAAAAATATGTAATTATTCAATATAATATATATATAATCATCAAAAGTAAATTACGCGATACAAAACGAAAAAAATTGATATTTGCTTTTATATGAGAAATTGATATTTCCGATAGAAATGATAGATTCAGATAAAGTCATACAGTATTTCAACAAAATTTGTACGTATCTTTATCAATTTTTATCGGATTTTTTAAAGCAGACTAACCTAATATATGAAATTTCAACACATTGACCTTTCCTTTGTTAATTACATGAAAGTGCGTTCACCACTCAGATAGATTCTTCTTCTCCAGGTGTTAGTTTTACACAATCAGATCGCAATGCAGTATAGGATTTACAAGGCGCGTCTGGCACACCAAATTACGCGCAAAGAAGAGCGCGAGGTGAAAGAGTACGCCACCCTCGTTGGAATGCCGTGCGCGCGAAGGATGCTTCTTTATCGCAGCTGAAGCGATTCCTGTGGCACGCGAAACTGACAAATACGCCATGAGCGTATTTCGCGGACGATTGTCGCACGGAATATACCGTGATTGTGAACGTATCTGCTTGTTTTCTCATATTGTGGAAGGTCCTTTGAATTACCTCGGAGATTAATCGCTGACCGCATGCTGGCTATGCTTATGTACAAAGAATCGTCGAATTCATGACTCTTAGGATAAGGATATGAATCAGGTATGAATCATATGTTGGAGTGGTAATCTGCGATCGTGATACGATAATCAGGGGGATTACACATAGTGCTTGTTAATAAATTATGTGCATCAAACGCGCACGGACGTTTTGTTTCTTGTTCAGTGTACACAAGCGTCGAGCAGTGCTCTGAAGGATCCAATGAATTGTTTAGGAATGTTATAACTTCCTTTATTTTCTTATGTAACTTTCTTTTTAAGAATTTAATTTTTCTCAGACTTATTTTCCCGTTTCTCTCACTCACATTTTAACAGAATCGATCGTTGTAAGTAAATGTTACTGCGCGCAAACACAACACCAATTTACACACAGCTGGCTGTAATCGTGCCTTAATGTCGCGCGCCTACGCTAATTATTCGCTCACCCGAGTTTTATTTGTATTTAAACATCCGTCTTCAAAGGTCACCGTTAAAGACCTACGATACAAGTTTTACCGTTAACGTCGAATTCTTTAGCGCTCGTTTGTGAAATTGGAAAGAATCCGTAGAATTCGTCTTGATACGAGTGATATAGCAATTAAAATTTGCTATAAATTCGCATTAGCATTGTCGTCTCTCGTCTATTTTTAAATCGCAGTCAAGTCTATGTATATAGCAACATCCCAATAGGGGTCACACGTACAGCATTTTTAAGTAATCAAATTGTATATTCACATTCACGTTCAATATGCATTATTGCAAGTACATGAAACATTTTGCGGAGAAAAAAGGAAATTAACTAACAACATTGTTGGACGTCATTAAATAGCGAAAGTGTTTGTTACGCTAAAGTTGCCCGCAAAGCCAATGGTTTTTAATGTTACCTCGTTAGTGTATATCCACAGTATATAGTATTAAGAAAAAGGATTCAAGATTTACAGAAAGAGCTCATTATTACTGAATAAAAAGTACATAGATCGAAAAAATAGATCCTGTAAAAAAAAATTACAAATGTTTTTCGGTTATATTATCATGCGCGCAAGTTATTTGTGTGTTTCCATTAATCTGTTACTATTACTCATTCATAATTTTCTTTGGTGAAGTTGTTGATTTACAGGGCATAGTTTCAGTATACCTTTAATTATTTTCTTCAGTTCAAGAACAATTTTCATTTTTTGTACCCGTAAATATAGTCATATTTTTTCGCCTGGTAATTAAAAATACGTCCATTGTAATTCTAACTATATTCTAATAGCGCTAAAATTAATTTATATATTAATTATAACTTGGAACAAATGAAAGTTTATTACAAAGAATTCATTCTACTTTGGTTAGTGATGCATTTTGCAAAGCAGATATTAAAGCAGTTTCAATTCTTATGTTGATACCTGTTGATCTAACAGACAGCAACTTTTGCAGTTACATCACTCAATTCTAAGGTTATAAATCAACAATCTCTTTGCACCACTCGTTCTAGATACAATGTTAAAAGTTGCCGAGAAAGAAACAGAAAATTATTGATTTAAACATAATTTACAATATGTTATAATTAATATATTAATTATAACATTACTGTAGAATATTTGTAACTATGATGATTTTTCGATCTATTTTTCGATCTTTTTTATTGAGTATAATGAGAATTATCTAATGAATAAATTTGAATTGCTTTTTTTATTATTCTTTTTTCTCTTTGATCCTTTTTCCTTGATAATCAATAAGTAGTCATATAATAAATGGTGAAATGAGATACGTGAAATGACGAAATGAATATGTTTTGTCTACATATTTTATTTCACTATTTATCATACGACCATTTACGATCATCACGGAGAAGAAATAGTCTCTTGCATTTTTGCTCACCAGAGAGTCAACAGTTTAAAAAGTGTCTTTATGAAAATTAGCGATCCGGGGAGGTCGCGTTGCATATTCGTTAGTGCACAAGAGTTTTCAACTTTTCTGTGGCCTTTCCAACTCTTGATTGTCCGATCTCTCAGGCTGGATCTCATTCCAGCTCTGAATCTGTCCGTTACCGCCGAACAGAAAGACTACCATGGATGCGATGCATACTGCCGCACCAATCCAAAAGACTGTCTGCCACCTGTCAATCGGGTTCTGGCGCAAAAAACAATGAATTAACGTTAATCCCTTGTTGGCACATTTATTGCTTGTTGCTTAATTCGGTATATTAGGGATCATATTAATAGTTGCCTGAAACTTGTCTTATGTAAGATATTCAGATCTGTATTCACATTCAAGTCTTTTAGAGTTGAATGTGTGACATTTATACCTATAAATGCGATTCAACTGAAAGATTCTCATCAAACTCTGGATCCAAATCTGAGCATCTTGAGACGATTTTCAAGCAACTGGTATTAATACAAATTTGAATCTATGAGATCCACATAGATTTTTCTAATCTGACCTTCACTTAAATATCCATAAATGTGCTTATCTAGTTTTGTGTGCGAAAAGTACACTTGAGAAACTTGTTGCAATCGTTATCTTTAAAATAGATAATCTACGGTACAAGAGAAAATAGAGTGTATTGATTTTATATGAGAAAGAAGTAAAAAGTTTTGCGTGCTTCAAGAATAGAATTCTATACTTATATGCGTAATAATTAAAAATTTAACAACTATAGGATTTAATTTCTCTTGCTCGAGTCAATTTGACTCGTGAGAATGCCAGAGACTAGAATTCAAATCGGGTCATATTCGTAATAAATTGACCGGCGGATGTTTCGTAAGTTTTGAAATTTGCGGAAACAAGACAAATGCGAATGAGACAACGATGATGACACAGTCGTTGGTCCCTCGATCGTAGAAAAAAATTATAATGACCATTTCAGATACGCAACCGCCTCGGCCATTATGCCTAATGATGATTTTCGCTTTACAATAAAAAACCATGTTTATAACGGAATGCTGAAGGAAATGTGTATGTGATAAGATTTACGGAACGAAGGTGTAATTTGCGTGCGAAAGATCTAAGAGGGAGAGGAAGCGCTTTACGACGTTCGAAATTCTTGCGTAATGTCGCCTCCCTCTTCCTCCTCCTCGATAATCGCTCTTGACGAAGAGGTAATTCGCGTTCAAGAGATGTCGCGATTAAGATTATAAAAAAAACCAAGAACAAATTGCACAGCTGTGATTACAAAAGTGATTGCATAGAAGCGGCCGCGGGATTATGTAACGGCGTATTGTCAAAGCGAGCGTTGCGAATTGTGTGTGTGCGCGCGCGCGCGGATGAATGTCCGACGAAAAACCGGCAGAATTGAGAAGCCGAGAGACCAATCTGCGAAATCGTAGAATAGCCTTTGCGATCGTTGACTTTATTTTCTTAAATTCTTTCGCGAAATTCATTTGAAATTGTCCTTGACTTCGAAAATCGGGAATCCGAGTCGATATGGAAGAATTCAATCTGAGCCTCGAGTTATTAATATTTCTTCTTTTTTTTTCAATAAAATTATTGGAATCCTATCGAATGAGTAATGATTGTATGTGTGTATAAAGATTAATTAATGCGTTCTTATGAACGCAATTGAAGTTACGCTTACCCCGTATTTTCCGGCTATTTCCTCGACCATGGGCGGGATAATCATCCCGGAGATACTGCCGATCATGTTCATGATACCGTAGAGAAAGCCGGCGAAATTCGGCGCTAGATCTTGATTATTCGACAAATTGGAGATAATAGCGGCGCCGTTGAAGGCTAACGCGAATATCAAGCAGACATTCGCCAGCACTATGTCGCAGCCGACGTAGCCGACTAATATCAGGAAGATGCCAGGTAAAAGATGCGCTGAAGAGAAGAAAAACAAGGACAATCATATGCGTTACGTTTGAAGTCGTGACGTAAGTACGAGTTTCCGAGGCATTCTGTTCGCATATTCCGGCTGTCATGATTTGCATTGACGGAAATCAAATTCCAAATTTTTGCGAGCAACACGTCACTTTATAACTGTAGTTGCGAACTCTCTAAATTCCTCGGAGTGAAACCTCACGCGAAACGCGTGAAACTTCACTCGAAGCAATAATAAAAATGTTGCCACTCGGAATTTTAAGAGTGAATATAAAATTAAGAGGAATTTTAAGAGTGAATATAAAATTAAAAAAGAAATATATATATATATATATATATATATATATATATATATAT